AAAATGTCAAGTAAAATTGCATTCATATATATATGAATATATGAATATATATATATATATATTCTGAATATATATATATATTCTCAATGCTTTGATGTTCATGGTCTACCTCCATTTCTGCCCAATATGCCAACTGAACAGCCAATATTGTGCATGTTCTAAAAGAAAACTGGTATTACCCTAGGATATTTCTTCAGGAAACCCAGGGGACCACCCAAGTAGGCTTCCTAGGTGCCAGCTACTTCTATCCTGTCCTACTCTGGACCTCAGTCCTACATGTTCCCAAACTGGACATATCAGCACATCTTGAACAGATCCATCTTCAGAAACAGACTCCCAGTAGTCAACCTCACCAAGACAGATGGAAAAAAGCCAGAATGGACATTTGGTTAATTAAAATAAGAAAACCCAAAATTACTGAAAAGACTGGCATCCTTTGGCAAGCACATTCCTAATGGGAAAACTCTAAAGAAAGCTGAATTTGAAATCTTAAAGTGCTACGGAGCATGGAATTAGAACAAAATGTCTTTGCTACAGGAGTCATGCCTTTACAGACTCCAGGGTAATGTGGTCTTCCTTATAATAGGGATACATGTGGTCCCAAAAACACATAGGTTAAAATTTTTAGATTGGAGAATACCAACCCTGGCAGCATTTAGAAGGGCGCTGCCAACATGTACATCTATGACTTTCCCTCCTGTTGGTCCTTCACGACTTCAAAGTCCCATTTGAAACAACACATTTTTCCTTTGGATATATCAGTATCTTCACTGAGGTCTCAACGTGTTAATGGTCTCACAGACTGTCATCTCAAATAGTTGTTGAGATTCTAATATGTACCAGGAACTGATCTGGATAGGGGAGAAATAGTACTTAACAACATAGACAAAACCCCTGGTCCCATGGGGTTTACATTCCCTCTATTTTAACTTCTACTATTCTGCCTCTTTAAGATGACTTTGTACTATGGGCTGATTTCACATGTTAATTCTCAGAGAAAATCTTATTTCTCATTTGTGACTGTTACCATTATGTACTGTCTATAAATTCAAAAAGACAAAAAACAAAAAACAAAACCAGACAATATCCTCTATTAGGGTTTTGGAAAAGGGCGAGAAAGGTCTAATACCAACAGGTGATTACACTGTTGGAGTCCACAAACAAAAAGTGAATTTTAGATCATCCCTTGAGATACCAGAGTGGTATATTTCTGCTAGTAATTGAGAATATTATCTTCTCTTAGGAGTAAACCCAATGAAGAGGACTTCAAATGAAAATATTAGAGAACTGGAAAGAAACACAGGATGAGGAGCTGGGAAGTGTGTTCCACAGTCTGCCTTCCCCAGTACACAGCCCTGGACTAGGCAAGTCGCCCACATGCCCAGAGCTCCCTCCCCTCACTTTTAAGATGACAGGGTCTGCCTAAATCCCTAAGGCATCAGCCACTAGGAAATACCATGATCTCCATCCATATTAGGAACCAATCCTTACTCATCAGAGTGGTAGCTGAAGTCTCTGACCGTCCAGATAAGACATTTAAAATTTTGTGCTGTTCTTTAGCTGTTGAACTTGTTATTCACCTAGCATTTGCATAGCCAAGAACTTCACTGCCTGAACTGAGAGACCCTTTGCAATCTTTCCTGTACCACATTGCTGCACTCAAGAGTTACAGGTCTCTTCCTTTTCCCAGCAACTTCCAGGCCTCCCCACTCTCTCCTGGCTGCTCCTCTTACTTTGGCTTCTCTTTCTCAGTCCTCCTCCTCACCACCAGCCCTGTAAACTGCATTCTGCAGGATGTCACCAGCCCCCTGGTGAAGGTCACTGGCAGTATCATCTTAAATGAGATGGCTCACCAACCAACTACGCTTCAGCCCAAATGGAGAGCAGCCCACAGGCTCTTTGGACACCCCCAAGGATCTCACAGAGAGAAGTCTAAAACCAACTCTTCATCCTTCTTCCTCATGTTAAGACCAGTACTCTGCATTATTTAGATGAGTCGCCTTCTTTTCATCAACTGTCCACTTGTTACACTGTCCGAATTAATCAAGGACTAATCCTTGCTGACTCCACCCTCTGGAATAGCCTTGAAACCCTCGCCTTTTCCTCACCACATTGGTGAGGTCCTGACCCCTTCTGTGGCCTCTCAGCCTCAAGTCTCCTTATTTACATGTCTCTCCCAGCTGTTGATACTCGCCTCTTTGTACCGCTAACCTGCAGGCATTTGTGAGTTCTCTGTACTAGACTGTAACTTCTTTGACATAGAAGCCTCGTCATTACCTGTCCTATTATCCCCTGTGATATGACACTGTGTTGTGCACATAATTGCTCAATAAATAGACTTTGGCAATAAAGCATGAATTATCTTAAAGTGACTGCACTTATCCCCTCTAAGAGCAACTTGTTAGATAATTAAATATTACTCTAATTAACAATGTTATACATACACACAGACCACACACATAGACACATACACACACAAGACGCTCTTAACTCCCTTTAAGTCAATCTTCTAGCAAACACCAAGAGATGACTGATCTCCCAAATAACTGAGACATAAATTGGTTCTTATTTTTCATTCCTCGCCTTCCTCGAGGAAATGACAGAACACTCAGTAGCAAATGAGAAATTATTTTGCAAAATTATACACCTCAAACACCACCAAACATGGGCCATGCATCTTTCTTGTATTTTGACCCCACTGCTGTGACTTAGTGTGATAATTATATTACAAAGCTATTATTCGATGAAATGAAAACGGCAAAACAATTTCAATGCCTGCCCCCCAAAAACTCTGTTAGAATGCAATTATAAGTGAAATCACAATGGCAAAATAATTGAAATGCAAGTCTGGGAGGCACTGTTACAAAACCATTAAAATGCTTCTGTTGAGGACTCGCAACATTGAGTGAAACCATACACTCCCAGGGACACATTTTTAACTCACTAAAGGAGCCAACATTCATGAGAAGATGAAAATATCTGTGCTGTGGTTGTTCCATGGCATTCTCTGCACTTCTGGGTGCCACCTGGGGGTGTGTAACATCATTGGGGTTTGCAGATTTCTGGGATAGACTGGTGAGGGCACCATGGGCGATACTGTGCTTCCTTCCCACACCAAGCTTAATTTAGATATTCCTGGAACATTTCCAATATAAAAGCTAGGATCACAACGTGAAAAGATGTTTGTGGTAAAATTTAGCTTTCAATTATTAAATATGTGTGTGCATGTATTTCTAAGGCTCTAGCTTTCTAATATGTTATGTTGATGTATTCCTTTTGCAAAATCTTTATAAAAGGTTTTGATGTCCAGGCTTACAGTAGATCTATCTGCCCACCAAAGAAAAAACCAAAGACAAAATGTGGTGCACTAGATACACGAGGGATACACTGAAAGGATCAATTTGACAAATGACTAAGGACCCTCCTCTGAATTATGTTCTGTGTTTTGATGGCTGAACACATAGATGAGTCTACCAGGAAAAACATGCAAAATATGCCTCATTCCCCCACACCCCCTCTCCCTCACAGTCTGCTTCCACAGATCTATCTCGCTCAGTTAAGTGACTAAAAAAATAGATGTTAGAAGGAAGTGATATAAAGAAATAGCTGTTAAAGGAATAGATGTAAATCCTTTTCTCATTCATGATTATCTCTCTCACAACGTCACAGAACAGGTTAGAAAATGGCATTTTGGGGCACCCGGGTGGCTCAGTTTGTTAAGAGTCCAACTCTTGATTTCAGCTCAGGTCGTGATCAGGGTGGCGAGATCAAGCGAAGGAATAAGTGGGAACGTTAACTAAGGCTTTGTAACAAGGTAAACCTTGTAGCTTAATTTTGTTTAATTAAATCAATTAATTAATTTACTTATTTATTTTAGAGAGAGAGTGTGTATGCAAAGCATGTGCAGAGGGAGGTCAAAGGAATCCCAAGTAGACACCACTACCACCACAGAGCCTGACATGAGATTGTGACCTAAGCCAAAATCAGGTGTCAGACACTTAACCAACTGGGCCACCCAGCTGCCCCATGGTAACTTTAAAATAAAAATCAAATCTTCTATCTAGATATTTTATAGAGAGGTCATATTTTTATACATATAATTTAGATATTAATATGATTTGAAAGAGATTTTTTAAATCATATGAGGAAGTCTTCCCAGTTTAGGCACACAGGAATGAACTTTGAAAAAGATAGAAAAAGTCATCTAGAGAAAATTCTATGACTAAGTGAAAAAATGAACAAGCAAACATACACATAGATTATAGAAAAAAAAATTAGCAGGATCCCCACAGTATTTAAATTGTAGTACTTCACATAAAATTTGAAATGTAAAATCACATTTGTCAGAGTTTTCTAGAATTAATCTCTATATTTAGGAAACTATTCAAATAGGTTTTCACATAATAGCTTTATTAACTTCCCAGGGCATATCTCTGGAAGTTAATAAAGGAGACACCAATAAAATATTTGTAATATGGTAAGTTAAAATCTATTGTTCTAACTTTGAAGTGCATAAAGATATGAGTTGGACAGACTGGGCAATCCTTAGAAATACTGAGGAAGGCACTAGTTAGAAGGGGTGGGGCTTGAATATTTTATTTGTACTAAAAAAAAAATTTTTTTTTCCCTAGTAGCTTGGGGACATTATGGTTACATATATGGTTACATATATATATGTTTTTATATATGTATAAATTGAATGCAAGTACATTTTAGTAAACCTTGTTGTTCTTGAAAAAAAAAGATACGAATTGGATTGATGGATGGACAGACAGTAAAGAAAATATGGTATTAAATGTAAACTCTAGGATCTGGGTGGTGGGATATATATGGGCATCCTTTTACAATATTTTTAATTCTTCTGTATGTCTAAAATTTTTCATAATAAAATGTTGGGGGAAAACGCGCTGCTCTAGAGGGAAAGTATTTATTCTATCTATTAACTGTGCTCAATAAATAATCCAGGTTCAGAATTTGTCTCATTGACATGGTACACTCACCTAGCCATCCGGATCCTGAATTCGGAATGCACAAGTCTGTCTCAGCACTGGGCAACACGAAGCCAACAACAAACACCTCCACACCATCCGCCATAAGGGCCATGCCCAGGACAAAGAATAGGGCCCACTGGAAACGACCGTGACCACACTCTTGGATTATCAGCTCATACTGCTGGGCTAGTTCCTCCTCATCAGCTTTCCTCTCTGACTCCAGCTCCTGCCGGTCCTTGTGCACATCCCCCTTGGGCTGCCCCACGGACACAATGCTGTCCTTCCCTTGGTTCATACTGGGGATGCCCTGATACTCTCCTTCATAGATTTCATCATCTTCATCATGACCCTCGGTAGCTTCACTGGAGCCTTCATCATCATTGGCCTCCCCATCATAGGTCTCTCCAGGCGGGTAATAGTCATCGTCCTCCTCATCTTGGAACCGACTATAGGACCTCTGTGTGTATTCATCCTGGGCCCGGTCCACTGCCTGATTAACCTTCTTTACTGTTTGTTTCTTCACCTCCCGGGCAATGTCCTTGGCACCCTTCATCAGTGAAGTCCTATCCTTGTAAGAGTCTTCCATCTTATCTCAACTGATGGCGACCGAGAAGATGGGAATTTTTCAGATTCTGATCAGTGGTTCGGCCCTGACTGCATCATCCACATTGGGGTCAAAACAGAACTGCAAAAGAAGAAAAACCACATGAAATCATTATTATTCCTTTCTTATCTTTTTTTACCATTTATTTCCTAGTCTCTTTTCACTGTTCCCTCAGACTAAGACACAGAATTAGCTTTTCCTTTCTTTGATCTTACTGTCCACATGCAACAGACAACAGTTCTCTGCTCAGGTGTGATCAGCTCTTGGAATACTTAATGGGTTTTACTGTTGTTATTACTATTATTATTTGGTGTTTAAGGAACTCTGTCCCCTGAGAACTTTGATAGAATACACAGGCATTCCCCAGAGAGTAAAACAGGACATCTGGTACCTCTAAAAGTACATCTAACACATTTTGAAAGTGTTACAAAGATATACTCTGATTGAGAAAAATAGTATTGCTCAGAGACATACACACACTGCAAAGGCAAAACTAGAATAGGAGAAGAATCCTATCTGACCTTATTTCCTAATAGTGAAAAAAAAAAAATCGCAGGCAAGCAGCCCTATACACGATGCTATTGAATCATATGCATTTCCCCTCTACTTTCATTATCTCTCCTTCCAATAAATAACAAAGACTCATATGGCACCCAAAGCCACAACTGAGTATTTCCCCCTAGTATAACCATCAGATCAGTAGGAAATGGGCAGAGTTCATCAAATGATTTTAGATACCTTTGATAAACATTGGATTAGAACATATGGTTTGTGTAGTCAGGGTCTATCCTTTCAGAGGCCACCTCCAGGCCAGCAGGGACAGGTAAGCCACATGCCATGTCCCTTCACAACCCCACCCTGTCAGTACTTCAGGCTTTGTCTCTTATCTTCTTTGTCTCTGGACACACACACACACACACACCCCTTGTCCTACTGCCACTCCAGTTAACTGCTGTTTTGGATACCAGAGTCATGGGTCTCCCATGACCCACCATTTGGTTTTCTTTCTCACTGAGAGCACCCTAGATCTTGGCTTACACTCAGGCTGAACACATGGGAACTGATCTTTCACTTATCCACTGAGCTCTCCCCTCTGGTGGCCCACCATTGTAGAGAGAGGATATAAAGGTGAGAGAGTCCTTCTCCTCCATCATTAACTCCCCAAGCTCTACTCTGTGGCAGCATTCCAAACCATGAGTTATGTAATAGCCACTTCTACCTTCTTTTTGCACCCGGTATAAAACACTTGATAAGTAGCTGTACAAACATATACTTAAACGGCTCATTCAGACATTACAAACAAACCCAGCAATAAAGACAAAAAGATGTTTGTTTATAAATGGACTGTGCATCGTTACCACTGAATAACTGTGAATGCCCAGGAGGCAAACAGAAGCATGGTTCTGCACAGGCCTGTGTTTTGGAAGACGGCAAAGTGAAATTAAAATAAACATATGATTATGAGCTTTTTTGCCAAATGTCTTAATGGAGGGCTGTATGTTCTCCCCCCTTTTTTTTTTCCTCTTTCTTCATTCCCCCCGCCTTTTTTTTTTTTTTCTTGGAGAGCTGAGAGTCAGGGGAAGGGAGAGATGGGAGGATCCATGAGCCAATTAAGAAAAGATGAGAAGGCAATTGGAAAACAGTTTGAGGATGGAGGCTCAGAGACTCAAATCGTATAACTCTGCTTCAGGGTGAGTCACTGAGTTACACCACAGAACATGTGCCAGACATCATTTTAATAAAAAAAAGCTTGATTTTGTGTATACCCTGTGACAGACATCGTGCCAAGAAGTTTATATACATTTTTAAATTCTTTTACTTAATTCTTACTTCAATCCTCCAAAATAGGTATTATAGTCTCCATTATACAGGTGGTAAGATTAAGGCTTATTGAGATTAAGTAAATGGCCCAGGATCATGTTTGTCAGCAAAGACACTGGGACTCCAACTCAGAAGGTTCTGACCCCAAAGCCTTGACCCTTACCCATCTCTGCTTCACCCAGTACTCTTGCTAAGGGCTTAGTAAACATAGTAGCATTCTTCCTGGTCATTCTGATACCTTGGTTGCCTATACAAAAATTGTTTTACAGCCTCTTGCCTAAATCACCTTGTACGCTCTGAAACAAGGGGAATTACTGTGATATCTTCACTCATGATAGGCTTTATATGGGTAATAATTCCAAAATATGGTCTTGTTCATTCAGATTAACCATCCCGATATGGTAGCTGTACTTCAAAAGATAATCCTATAGTCATTCCAAACATGACAAAGATGTCAATGGGCAAGAAGGGCAGGAAAGAAGCCAAAACAATGAACCCCCAACTGCCTCCAGTCAAGTGCAGCTGCCTGTTCCCTGTAACTCAAGGTGGTGTACTTTTCCATGAAATAAGGATAATGACAAAACCACCTTGCAGAGTTGTAAGGATTAATAAGTGCTATTTACACTGTGTCCAGGAGAAAATTTGGCATATATTAAATGATTTTAATTCAGGTTCCCCAGAAACAGAACCCGGGGCAGGGAATCAGGTACGAATTATTTATTAAGAGGAATTGATACAGGAGGGGACAACTGAGGCAAGACAGCAGTTTTAGGTAGGATCCTGGGGGGCGAGCTTTAGCCTCTGCTCAGAGTTATTCCCACTCAAGGCAAAGGTGTGGGGCTTTCACGCTCCCACTCCCACCCATTGTTGGCTAAGGGCCACCCAGGGCAGGGATGGACTGTAGGCACTTCTGGCTCTCTGCACCCAAAGCTAGGCAGTTCCTCAGAGCCCAGGGATGGTCCTCTGAAGGGGTACAGGTGCTGGCTGGTGGAAGCAAAGGCCCACTGGAGCCAGGGGAGGAGAGCAGAGAAAATGAAGGGGATCCCAGAATATCAAGGCAGAGCAGTCACAGTATCTCCTACAATAAGAATTGAATAACTACTTATTTAGATGCCCTGCTAATCACGCTAAGCAATAGGTCCCACAGCTGATTAAAACCTTATTTACAGAAGTGGCTGTTACAACCGAATATTTACAGCCCAGCTTATCTGAGATATTTAATGACATGCACAAATCAGCTCGATTTCCATGTGTATGACAATCATTTTGCCCAAATAATAATTTGTACACATAAATGAGAGCTATTCGGGTAAAAGAGAATTTCAGTTCTTTTTTTTCCCTTTGATGATTCATGCCACGGGGCATACATTCACTCACATCACATACTATATCAAAACCATCCTACACGTGTTCCCGTGACACACAACCCTCCCAACACACATACACACACATACACACACACACAGATGTTTCTCTCAGTTTCCCCACACTGTCCCTGAACATCCAGTCCTTCCTTCTGCTTTAGCCCTCAACACCACCATCATCAAAAGATGTGGGAGAGAGAGCTCCTCCTCACCAGAACGTTCTGGGATCTTCCAGATACTGGGAAAGTCCACTATTTTTTTTTTAAGATTTTATTTATTTATTTGACAGACAGAGATCACAAGAAGGCAGAGAGGCAGGCAGAGGAGAGAGGGAAGCAGGCTCCCTGCTGAGCAGAGAGCCTGATGCGGGGCTTGATCCCAGGACCCCGAGATCATGACCTGAGCCGAAGGCAGAGGCTTAACTCATTGAGCCACCCAAGTGCCCCTAGTCCACTGTTTTTAATAAGGGTATTTATGGAGCTTTGAAGTCATCGGGCACACATAGAGTAATGACCGTAATAATAAAAGCTCACCCATTTTTACGTCGGCCCTGTGCTATGCACTTCAGAGGTACTATCACAGAACAGGAATTTTAACAACAGTCTTAATGCTTTTTATTTATTTATTTTTTTTATGCTTATGGAAATCTTTTTTTTTTTTTTATTTTTTATAAACATATAATATCTTTTTATCCCCAGAGGTACAGGTCTGTGAATCGCCAGGTTTACACACTTCACAGCACTCACCATAGCACATACCCTCCCCAATGTCCATAATCCCACCCCCCCAACCCTCCTCCCCCCATTAACCCTCAGTTTGTTTTGTGAGATTAAGAGTCACTAATGCTTTTTAAATCTCTGTTTTACAGATGGGAAAATCAAAACCTACCTAGTAAAAATTCACACCTACACAAGCCTACCGCAAGGCCTAACCACTTACACTACAACTATCAGCAATTAGCAGAAATTGGAGCCAGGAGGGTAACAGAAATCTGATACTGCAAAATTGGGGCAGAGGACAGCCCCACCTGCCACACCCAGATGATAGAAACACTCAAAAGTATTTGCAGGTCTCCAGCATGTTGGGCTTGGAGAGAGGGGTCATTATCTAATAACCCTCTTTCCCTCCTAAGTTCGGATCTAAATGAAACATTCAACAGAGTAGATAAATAGTGATCAGTTACCAGCTCATGGAGAATCATGCCCACACTTCATCCCAGATGCCCCACCTTCTTCCCAGTCCTGGGACTCAGCCCCACACAGAACTCGTCCTGGAGGGAAGGCTGTCCGGGGAACTTGCCACGCTGCAGTAGTAGCAGACCTGGCTAAGCACTTCCTTGGGGCTGAGGCCAGCAGGCCAAAGTCTTTCACCCAGTTTGCCAGAGAAATTCGTCCTTCTTTCTTGGGTAGGAGTCAGGGTATGTGCATGGTGGGAAAGGGAGAAGCTGCAAGTGTTTTTCCACATCTGTCTCTCCTGGGGAGCAGTGGAAATCCCTGTACTGGAGCAGAGGTTGAGAAGTGGGGAATAAAGCTTCCAAAGATACAGATGTAGTGAAAAGAAGGGTCATCTGTACCCCAATGTTTATAGCAGCAATGGCCACGGTCGCCAAACTGTGGAAAGAACCAAGATGCCCTTAAACGGACGAATGGATAAGGAAGATGTGGTCCATATACACTATGGAGTATTATGCCTCCATCAGAAAGGATGAATACCCAACTTTTGTAGCAACATGGACGGGACTGGAAGAGATTATGCTGAGTGAAATAAGTC